CAGTAGACCGGCAGATCTGATATCATCGCCACTGTGGTGGAATTCTTCGGGATTTCTATGTCTGGAATTCGATTAGACGGTGTTCGCGAAGATTACTGTGAATTACTGTAGAAAACGAATTCCTCCTGTATACTGCAGTTTCTTTACAAACAAAAACCAAAAACCATGCAGATTGAAACTTTTTCGACATGATTTTGTTTGTAAAAAAGGTACAGTAATCCACAGTAATCTTCGCGAACACCGTCTAATCGAATTCCAGACATAGAAATCCCGAAAATCGATAAAGAAACTGCAAAAATAGCTGAAAAACCTAAAAAGGTCTTAAAATTTCGCAAAAAAAATCGCAAAAAAGGTATCTTTTTCTCGAAAATTTCAGAAATTTTAAGGATCAAAATATAGAATTTCTAGGTCGAAAAATGACATTGTAGAAGTTCAAACTTAATAAAAACCACATCGCCTTTTTTTCAAAATAACTATTTTCAGACATCAGAATCTCTGAAATTCTAAAAAAGCCTATTTTCCAGTTAATTAGTGGTTTATTCCAAAAATTATAGTTTAGTAGTTATTGTCATTGAACCTTTCCGACAGAGTTTTTCATCCAAAACTTCAATCTTACTGTATCCTTGACCCGTGTTTCCTTATCGATATATTTCTCGTTACAAAATCAATAAATCCGTTTAATCCCGATTTCGGGGAAACCTAAAATTTCGGAAATTCTATGAGTCATCGTTTCGTTCGTCCGAAGTCGGGTTGTCTCATTCCCACATGTTTCGCATTTTGTGTTTGCTCTCAAATTTGCATACTAAACAAATAGTTAGTGAGGAAAAGGTAGGAAACGAAACGAAGACGAAATGACGAGATACAATCGGCTTGGTTTCCGCGCGGAGGACGCTCCCTCAGGTAAATACTGACGGAAAGAGAAAAGAAGAAGATGAAGCTCAAATGACGAAATGAGGAGAGTGCTTTCATTATAATTTGAAAGTACTATTCCCCGGAATATTTTATTCATTTTGTTTCAATTGTTTGTGTTTCGTTTTGATCGTTGAATCTTCCAAACATCGCTGGGTGGTTTGAAAAAAAAAGTCAGAAAAAAACTATCACATGTTGACTCCTTTTTGGAACCTTCATTGAACTTTTGAAAAATTGAAGAAACCATAAACTGTGTTACTAGTTAGAGTAGTTATTGTAGAAAGCAAGAAAGAACCCCGATCGTTATATTTGATCCAATTTTTCAGGGTTTGTGTACAAGGTATCCAAAAATGGTTAACAAGAAAAACCTACATTATATATCAAAAATATTTTATCAGCTGAATTTTTTTTGACAATTTTCACAGAAAACTAAAAAATTGGCTCAAAACAGTCAGGTCGGACTCTCTTTGCGGCATACCGTACACACTCCAATAGAATGCCTTACTCAACTCACATCTTTGAGACAGTTTATCTAAGTTCCTGTAAAAGATATTAAATAAAAATATGTCAACTAATAAATTATTGTTCATATTATGATAAATAATTTATCAGTTGACTACTTTTTCATATCTTGCACAGGAATCGAGATAATTGACCTCAAAGTTGACGGTCAGATTGGACTATACATTTTTACTATATCTAGCAATAACTTGATGAAAAGTTTTCATGAGCATTCAAAAATTGAATAAGAAAGTTTTCTGATACTCCTTCTCGAATTCCCAGAAACTGTAGTCTCAGTTGTCAATCGTCATGAAGTAAATCATAATCGGATAATTATAGTTTACTGAAATATTAAAGATTAAAAAAAAGGATTTTTAGGTCGGAATAGGGATTACTGTACTTTTGAAAATCCCTTTTCACAGACTCAAGACTTTGATACCGTAATCCAACCCAAACCGTCAACATTGAGCTCAATTATCTCGATTTCTGTAAAAGATGTAAAAAAATTTGTCAACTGATAAATAATTTATCATAATATCATGAAGATTATATCAGTAGAAAAATTGTTCATATATTTCATAGGAATCGAGATAATTGAGCTAAACGTTAGCATTTGGGGTAGGCTTCTATCCGAGGTAATACGGTAGTTCAACGAAGTACAGTACCCCTGGCAATTACCAAAAAAACCCAAAATCTTCCTGAAAAATTTAGATCATCTCACAACAAATTAATCAAATTACAACGTCATCCCCCTCCATTTCCTGTTATCACCTCTTTCTCTTTTCCTCCTCCTCCCCATTCAAATTGCTCTCATGTTTCCCATTTCTATTCTCGTCGTGTTTGTTGTATTCCAATCATAAAACTATCTATTTTTCTCTCTCCCCCCCCCTCTCTCTCTCTCTCTCTCTCTCTCTTCTTTTTGGTTTCTTTTCTTTATCACTGTTATCATCCCCGCTCCGCTTTCATTCCGCGTCGTCCGAAAACCATTCTGTAAAAAATAGAAAAAAGAAACGATTCCCCTTTTTTCAGCTTTTTCCGACTCTATAATCTCATTATGATTGCCAATTTTTCATTTTCTTCACACTTTTAGCCATCTAACTTTCCAAACCTATGAATATGAATCATACGTGGGAGTTCTCCATTTTTTCTGTATTGCTGATGACTCACTTTCTTTTGCAACACTGAAATCTTTTCAATAATATACGAGATGGTACATTTATATGTTCGTCTTGACTCATCACTTTTCTATATCAAAAACGGTTTTTTGTAGAGTGTGAGCAATCTTTTTTTTTTTGAGAAAAAAGACCTGGCTTGTTTTGCGGTTAACCCCTTTTAAATTTTTTAAGTATCTAGTCAGAATTGCTCTGTTAGGTCAACTTTCAGAAAGTCGAACTTTTAAAAAAGTTGTTTTGATTGATTTCGATTTTTTCTCACAAAAATCCAGAAAATCTACATTCTCCTTTAAAGATTTTGCTTCCGGATGTAAGCTCCTAATTTCCTTGAATTATCGGGCCTGAACGCGTATTGAAAATGGTCCAGCAGACGAGAGTAATACCGTAATTCAGAAATTCGGAAAATTCAAAATTCTGAAACCTCCAGACTGTCGAAAATCTTCAATTTCTGAGGCTGCAAAAAAAAAAGATTTTGAATGCTTTTGAAAATCTGTAATATAATTTTCAAAGCTTTCCAGCTCATGATTGTGTAAAAACTTCTTGTATAACTTCTTCATAATGCACCTATCTCACCTCCTCCACCTGTTTTCTCCTTAACCACATGGGTATAGTGGCCGGCGCGAGCCCGGTTTTTGTCTGTACACGCGTTTCCCCTACACCCGTCGCCTCGCCGTCTCTCCATCGCTTCTTCGGCTTATTAGCTAAGATCAAAGTGTAGTATCTGTTCTTATCGTATTAACCTACGGTATACACTCGAATGAGTGTAATAAAGGTTATATGATTTTTGGAACCTAGGAAAGACTCGGGGCTTGCTCCGACTTTCCAAGGGTCGTCCCGGCGTTGCACTGCTGCCGGGCTCGGCCCAGTCCCCGTGGGGACAACAAAAAATTCACAGTGCTTCTAGAAAAAAGAACTATCCAGAATTCTCAAATCCTAGTTTAGAGACACGTCAGCAACTTCTTGTCGGTGGTTGGTCAGATTCCAGACAATACCGCTACAGAAGCCGATCAAACAAACTCCTTCAAACTTATGACTAGGTGTAGTAATACTTTAATTTTCAACTTTTCAACGAATCTGGGCTCTTGATTCGGAGGGTATACACAATTCGGGGGATCAAAATTTGGATTTTCAGGTATTTTGTACCGCCGAATGGAGGATTTCATACCCCCAAATTGCCCAATGACCCAAAAATTTTTGTACGAATAAATTTCCCAAAATCTGACCGTTGCCCGTTTTACAGCTGTTTTTGGGCAAGTTCAGACCAGAACCTGACCAATATCCGTACAAAAGACCTCAACTTCTGACCAGAAGTTACAATTTCTTCTAATCTTTTTTGAAAGATTACCTTCTTTTTTTTTAAATTTCCCCTTAAAAAAACTAATTTCCCGACTCCAATAGAAAGACCACCTGATAAAACTGTCTGATCACCTATCTCAGTTTATTTTTCTTCTTCCTGTTTGCTCTTGATTATTTTCTTATTTAACTCCTTTCAAATAATATGACTTTCTATTATTTTTTTTTGCTCCTCCCACTTTTCTCAACCATTTTCTGAATCCTAGAAATTCAACGTTGTTATTGTGTTGTCCTTTTTCTTCTTCTATTCTGCCTTTCTTCGCTTCAATGTCTCCCGGCTGTTTCTGAAAGCAAACACTGTAAGAGAAAATAGTGTAGAAAATCGAGAGGCATTCAAAGAAACAGAGAAACACAACAAATATTACGAATTTCGCATTTTGGCGAGAAAGAAAGAGGACTCCGGGGATGGAAAAGTGAGGTAAAGTCTGTTGGTTGTATGCACATGAGAACTGCGGGGAATACGCATGATTCATACATCATACGTTCTATGTATGTCTCCTGTTGCTCTTTTTTCATATTTCTTTTGTTTTCCATTGTTTCTGAGAATCTTTTAATCTGGATTTTTAAATTTCTATTTTGCGATTTGAATTCCTCCTCACATCACAAGTCAGATTTTTTCCTTTCTGTATGAACTCACGAATTCGGAAAATATTTCTGTCTAAACTGGAAAACCATGAAACATTCTTTTAGGTTCGTTTCTTAGGTTCGTTTCTTAGATTCTTGACCCAAACTTTCATTCATGACCTTTCTTCTAGACCACTCAAACCGTCAAGTTTGAGGTCAATTATCTCGGTTGCTATGAGAGATATCAAAATTTTGTCAACTGATAAAATATTGGTGATATTATGATAAATATTTTATCAGTTGACAACTTTTTAATATCTTTCCCAGAAATTGAGATATATGAGCTCAAACTTGACAATTCGGAGATATTCTATTAGAGTCTTCACGGTATTCTTTCATTTCTTAACCCCATTGCCTTGATTCTTGACCTATATTTCTGTTTGTGACCGAGTTTCTTCTAGGTTTTTATATTTTTTTTTGAGTTATGATCAAGCTTACTTCCTTGATTATTTTTCTACATTTGAAAAATTGGAATAAACTCAAAAATTCAGATCTACCAAAATCTAATACAATTACTCTTACTTTTTCATCGTTAATTACTCTTACTTTTTCATCGTTCAGCACTTTTGCAATTCCTGGATTTTTTGTTATTGTGAATCCTCAAAACATGGTTCCTGAACTTTTTTAATATACCGTAAACACTCTAATCGAATGTCACCCCTTATTTTGAACTTTGCGCCAAATTATCACGGTTCCTGTGAATTATTTGGAAAAGTTGTAAACTGGTAAAATTTTTATCATATCATCAGAAGTACTTTGTCAGTTGACCCATTTTTGATATCTTGTATAGACATTGAGATAATTGACTTCAAAGTTGACAGTGCGGAGGACCTTCTGTTACAGGTATTACTATAGTTTTGACTTCTACTTTGCTTCCCAACAAATCCTCCAAAGTCCCTCAATGTTTCATTTTCCCCCATAGTAACAGTACTGTTTAGGATCTTATTTTGGCTCCGTGAGCACATAGCGTAACCGATGATCCAGTTGGTTGTATGTGTTTCTTCTATTTACTCTTATATATGTGTCCACCACACTAATGAAGTGCTCACCGGTTGCTGCCGATCATTGGGCGAACGGCTCGTAGAAGAAAATTTGAGTACATGTGAAATTTCAAGTGTTCAAAAATTACAACTTTCTTATTCTTCTTCTCATATTTTAACTTTTTCCGTTTTTGTTCTGTCTTTGCAAATTTATACCTCAACGTTCCAATTATTTCAGATCATCGATAGCCCGTCTAATTGAGGCTATGATTTTCTCGCCTGGTTGAAAAAAGAGAGAAAGTTCTAATTCAATTCAATGGGAATAACAGCATGTTGCTGCTGCAGCAGCAAAGATGCTGCAATTACCATTGGCATATGGTCACTTGTGAGTTACAAATACTGATTTGCGTTACCCTTTACCGTAAACACTTTTGAAAGATCAAAAAGTTGTCCGTTTCCATTAAAATTTCCGACCGTTTCCATTAAAATTTGTGACCGTTTCCATTAAAATTTCCGACTTTGAACACTTTTCATAATTTTTTTAAAATTTCAGTTTATGTCATTTTTTGCATATTTTTTGTCTATTTTTTTGTTACTAAGCCTGGAAAAATCTGAAACTAGCTGAATAACTTCAAATGACACAGTTACAATGGAAAAAAAAGTATTGTTCATGCAAAAAACCGACCTAAACTGAAATTTTTTGAAGTTACAAATTTTTGTGGAAACATGCGCAAAGTACGAAATTTTTATAGAAACATTCGAAAAAAATTGAAAAAATTGGTAAATCTTAACTTAGTCCACATTTTTACCTATAGGCCCCCCTTTTGACATGGGCCCCCCCCCCCTTTTCTCATGGGCCCCCCCCCCCTTGTCATAAAGAGCCAAAATTTCCTTCTGAAGTCTACTCTATTTTTGACTAAATTTGTAAGGAAAAAACAGATCACAGTGCTTTCATTGTCTCGAATATATTCTCTGGAAAACCACGGAAAAGCTAATTTTTTACGAAAAAATCGAAGATTTAAAAAATCTTGAAATTCCCCCTTTCCTATATCAGCAACATTTTATTAGTGAATCACTTTTTGATATCTCTCACAGAAAATGAGATACATGGGCTCAAATTTGATGATTCGGGTGGCGTTCTATTAGAGTGTTTACGGTAATTTAGCCATCAAACATTTCGGAGAATAATAGTTTTGGGGAATATATATTATGAGTGAAAGGGATTTAGATTTTTTATGTTTTCAATTGATAGGTCAATTTTGAGAGCCTATGAAAGTTATTAAATATTTTCAAATTAGAAAAATGTTTTCCTGCGTACAGAAGAAAATTAGGTTTTTTTGCAGTTGACAACTATTTTCTAGCTACCTTACTTGTTGAGATATGAGCCTTTAAAGTTGGCTCGCCCTTAAAACCTGGCGAAAGGAGTGCTAACTTAAAGACGCATATCTTTAAAAGTACGGTAGCTAGAAAAAAGTGGCCGCATGTCTCATTTAAGATCTACAAACTTGGTTAGGTTTTGTTCAAAATTTCTGAAAATAAACAAGATATTCGAATTTCGTAATAGAAGTTTTTGTAGATAAATTGAACATCTAAAACGCTTTAATAGAATGCCACCCATATTGTCTACTTTGAGCCCATATATCTCGGTTACTGTAAAAGGTATCAAAAAGTTGTCAACTGACAAATTGTTTATCGTAATACCAGTAATATCTTATCAGTTAATCACTTTTTGATATCTATTATAGAAACCGAGATATATAGGTTCAAAGCTGGATGACTTTCTTTCAGAGTGTTTAAGGTTATGATCAGACTTATATTTTTATAATTTTTTAAGACTCAAGCTTCGAAATTAATTTGAAAAATCTAATAATTGACTTTAAAAATTAGTTGAAAGCAAGCATGTTCCAACTCGCATATTGTAGGTGTATGCACTGGCGTCACTTCTTCTGATGGGGTGGCAAACAGGCGTTCTCAATCACTGTCGCGCCGTCACAATGGCACAATCCAATTTACAATGTGAATGGGATTGTCCGTGTGTCGGAGCATCCACTAAACGTACCGCGTCAATCATAGAAGGCAAGTTTTAGTTAGAAAGTTTCTAGAAAAATAGGACATCAAAGCGTTTGCCGTTAGCCTGTTTGCCACCCCATTCTCGTATATTTGTGTGTCTTTCTTTTTGAGTTTTTTAACGATTTATTAAAAATCCCTGGTTTCCAGGTGTCCTCGATAGGCCAATTAGGGATAATGGGGTGGCAAATGGCGGCGATCAAATACGAGAGAGATCGAGCGGCAAACACTTTGTTACCAAATTATAATACTTATGGAAGATTTGATGTTCCTTCGTATTTTGAAAGTTATTGGCAGACTCCTGAAGAGAGATATTATACAGGTAAGGTGAAATTGCAGAAAAAAGGAAATTCGATGTCTTCTAGATTACTGTAAACACACTAATAGAACGACCCGTATTTCTTTGAACTTTGAGTCAATTTATCTCATTTCCTGTAGAAGATATCAAAAAGTAGTCGAATGACACAACATTTATCATAAGATAAAAAACGATGTACTAGTTGACTACTTTTTGATACCTTATACAGGAACCGAGATAAATTGGCTCAAAGTTAAGATGTCGTCAGCCGACCACCTTTCTCGGTCGGCATGCGCCGACTTGACAGTTTTGAGCCTATTTATCTCATTTGCTGTGGAAGATATAATAAAGTAGTCAACAGATAAAATGTTCAACATAATATCACAAACATTTTATCAGTTGATCACTTTTTGATATCTCTTACAGAAAATGAGATATATGTGCTTAAAGTTAAAGGTCTGGGGGACACGGTATTTTTTGAGCCAATTCAATCCCTTCCAAATCCAATTTCAGAAATAATTTCTTCAAAAATCATGTTATGTGCATTCGAAAAAGTTTATTTGAAGGCATATAAAAATATTCAATTCTGCCAGAAACTAGAGAAAACATTCTGAAAATTCAAAAACTTCAATCTTTTGAAATCTATCTATAAGTTGGATGTGATTTCTAAAAAACGTCAATTTTAAAATTCTGTCAAAATTTTCAGCAAGATTTTAAAAAATCTTTCTGAAAGTCGTGGCATGTTTTTTATCTGTCAAAGACTAAACATTCTGAAATTCTGAAATCCTAAAAATCTTAAGAATCCAAAGTTTCAAAACCCAAAAATCTAATTTCCAAAATTTCAGGACTATTCGTTATCCAAGTCCTCTGTCTCATCGCTGCATTCTTCCTCGTTTTTGCCGCTGCCGCAATGATATACGGTATTCACACCTGGTCCAAATACCTCATATGGCCATGGTTCCCAACGATGATCTCCTCGATTCTAGCCACGTTGGCATACTGTATAATGTGGTGGTGTGGAGATGTTAGAGACTATTGGTTGGCTATCACTATCATCGAAATTATCGTAGTCTTTATTAATGTGAGATTTTTTTGAATTTTTAGACGAAAAAATAACGATTTTCTTCAGATTTATTGTGTGGTAGTTGTGATGGTTTACTATAGAAGAATCAATGCAACCACCGATGAATATGAAGGAAAAGATCGAAGAGGAGTACGGTATAATATCAATCGGAATGGAAATAGTAGAAGAGATCTTCTTCAATCCTATGATGATGGTGTCCATCGGAGCCCTCCAATGAAGTACAAACGTATGGTTTTTTAAAGTTTTCTTATTTACAGGGTGATAACTTTTTCATAACGTTTTTCTCAGCAATGCTACACAAAAATTATCAACTACAAAAATGTAGATTTTTGTTTATAATATAAGAAAATTTTTAAAAAGTTTACAAACTTTCGATTCTGAATCCGCACGGCTTCATCCAACGAATGACCTACATGGTGGCGCATAATTAATAGGGATTCAAGTTTGTACTAGCATAAATTTTGAGTGAAGCGTTGTATTTGGCTCCAATTTGGAGTGCGAAAATTCAAGTAATTCATCAGTAAACTGGCCAATTTTCAAATTATTTGATCATCTATGAGCTGAGTTATCACTTGTCAAAGTTGCCTCATCTCATGAAAACCGCAAGAAACATTACGCTGTTCATCGTTGAGCAATAATAAAATACTTAGACTTGAGCAATCGCGTTGAAAATTTTAGCAGCTTTGAATCAAACGTAAAATTATATTCCCATCAATTTTTAAGCTTCCGAGATACTTATGTCCAAAGATATACCCATTTTTATCAGCCCGGTACCACCGTATATGTTCACATTTTTTCAGCAATCGTACCTCAACCGTATCCGGTTTATCCAAGTTATTCTCGAGCCGGAGTCCCCCAAACCCCGATTCCTCTTCCACCGACACAAATCAACACTCCATATCCAATAGATCCACAAGAAATTCAATTCCAATTAGAGCCAAAAGTCAAGAACATTCGAGTAATCGACGACGATCCAGTTGGATCCTGGGTTCGAGATCAGCAGTCGATAGGTACAGTTTTGTGTGATCCTGCTTTCTTCTCTTTTTCTTTTCCACCCTCCTCTAACTGCATGCACTCTCAGTTTCGAACGGTTTCTCATTTTCAGCGATGCTTTCAGAACGGGGACATGAGGCGAGAAGCGAGCCGATTACTGTGAGCAAACAGGTTCAACCAACTACTCTTCAGGTAAGAAGAGAAAGAAAGAAAGAAAGAAAGAAAGAAAGAAAGAAAGAAAGAAAGAAAAAAAGAAAGAAAGAAAGAAAGAAAGAAAGAAAGAAAGAAAGAAAGAAAGAAAGAAAGAAAGAAAGAAAGAAAGAAAGAAAGAAAGAAAGAAAGAAAGAAAGAAAGAAAGAAAGAAAGAAAGAAAGAAAGAAAGAAAGAAAGAAAGAGAGAGAGAGAGAGAGAGAGAGAGAGAGAGAGAGAGAGAGAGAGAGAGAGAGAGAGAAGTTTAGAAATAATATTTTCAGCATTCACGATCAGTACCATCGCTGCACGGAGGAACTCTTGTTTCCCACAGGGATTGTGATCATCGGGATGATAAGCACAGATCCTCCTCTCGCGACGAAAATCCAGAAGTCGTCATGAGTACGATGACTATTCTTCTGAATCCGATCCATCTGATTTCACACGCCAACATCGTCATCGATCGAGTAGTAAACGAAGACACAGAAGTCGTTCTCGATTCGATGAATCTGTTACCAACTATGATTCTGAATTGGATAGAGACCGAGAGAGACGACGGTCAAAGAGACACAGACACGGTGGAAGTCAGAGGAGTTCTTCCAGAAAACAACGGGATGACCGAGGAAGAGACAGAGATCGAGAGAGGGATAGAGAAAGAGAGAAAGAACGAGAAAGGAGAGATCGGGAAAGGGAGAGAGAGGAGAGAGAAAGAGATAATCGAGAGAACGAACGAAGAAGGAGAGATAGAGAAGATAGAGAAAGTGAAGTGCCACGTAGGAGAGAAGGAGATCGAAGAAGTCGTCATCAGGATTCACAGGAGAATTCTGGAGGATCTCAAGAAATGTCATTTCCATTATCGGGAGGGATTACGATACCTCAACATATAGTGATTCCACCGTCATCCGGAGAAAGAGGTCCAGATGGAAATCCAGTTCCACAAAAATATCAAATAAATTCGGAAATTACAATCAATTATGATCATAATGGACGGCCGGTCGTGGGTCCGAGAGAGCCACAGCCAACTATTGAGGAGCCGTATAGGAGGCGTCAAGTTGTGAGTGAATTTTTCTAGATCAAACATTTTTTAGGATTACTGTATTATAAATTTGAAGATATTGGAAGTTGGAAAATTCAAAAATTCGAGAAACTTAGAAATCGAAAATTCGGAAATTATCAAATTTGGAAACTCGAAAGTTCGGAAATTCAAAAATTCTCAAACTTTCTCATTCTCAACTTCGGGAATCCAGAAATAAGAAAGTTCAAAATGTTGAAATTAAAATTCAGAAATTCAGAAATTCAGAAATTCAGAAATTCAGAAATTCAGAAATTCAGAAATTCAGAAATTCAGAAATTCAGAAATTCAGAAATTCAGAAATTCAGAAATTCAGAAATTCAGAAATTCAGAAATTCAGAAATTCAGAAATTCAGAAATTCAGAAATTCAGAAATTCAGAAATTCAGAAATTCAAAATTTCGAAAATTCAAACATTCGAAAAAGTGAAATTTCGAATTCTGATAGAAAAATAAAACTTTCAATTTTTCAGCTACCAATCCAATCAACGTTCTAAATCCATCCGACTAAAGATCTCTACTCATTCTTTCATTTTTTCCCTCCCTGCTTTTTTCTTTTATCCCCAGTTATTCCTAAATTCTATCTCTAGCAACTATTGAAATTAAATTGTAAATATTGATGAAACTCTTCCTAAAAATTTATCATCAACTTTCAATTAGGCCGGTTCTATCCCCCATTCGCTTTCAAAAAGTACACCCCTCAATTTTTTTCAAGTTTTGGGCAAAAATTCATAAACTCTCATGAATTCCCACAAAAAATTCCATCAAATGTTACGCAGTTTTTCAAAATCCCATCATGACTTCTTCTCTTTTTTCATGCATTTTTATGTATTATTTTAAAATTGAGGTCAATAAAAATTTTATAAAAACACAAAAAAATTATTCCAGTTCAAGGATTGCACTTGGAGGACATTCGAAGTTCATATTCCCCTTTTTTTCTTTAAGTGTTTTTCAGGGGAAAAGAAGTCAATTAGAAGTATATTCGCCATTGAACTTCATAACGTCTTGCTTGCACAACGGAACTCTGACGACTTGGAGGCGAAAAAGTGATCCAAAAACTACTCGACGTCCTTCCGATCATATCATTTCTTTGCATGGTAGAACTTCGATTCGGAAAGACTAGTGCTAACTGCTGACCTTCAACGAAATATATGATTTTTCGTTAACTTCTCCTCTTTTTCAGTCATTTTTTTTGTATTATTTTTTTCAAATTGCGGTCAATAAAAAATTCATTAAAAAACAAAAAATTATTCCAGTTCAAGAATTGCACTTGGAGGACATTCAAAGTTCATATTCATGACTGCTTCGACTTGTGGAATCTGAAATTTTGAATGAATTTACTCTTCAGATTCTTCTGTAAATCTTACCCATCTATAAGTTAACGCCTTCATTCCCTTCTTCACTTTTCTTCCTCCTACCCTTATAAATGCAAATTCCTGTTCTTCCAGAGGTTTCCAACGATCTTGAATCACTGAAAAATCATTTAACAGTTTCGTTTTTTCTAGAAGATTCAAATTTACATCCAGGGCAGTTGTATTCTCGAAGAATTGTCTCGTTATTCAAGTAGTCGTGACTGAAATTTCACAAATTTTATTTGTCAACCTTCTTCCGTCTTACATGGAATTCACAACAAGATAACTGTCGTATTTAGAGAGTGTTACTGAGCTCATATCGTCGAATTCCATCTGGAGTAAAGCAATTTTTGTGGTTTCATGATTAAATACCTACTTCAACACTGTATTCTTTTGTCAAAAAAATAATGCATGAGACAGTTGCAAGCATAACTGCAAGTAGCAAAAGTGATGGAAAGACAAATTGGATTACAAGTTCCAGTGGAGGAGTTGATCGGAAACGATATCGAGTTGGGTCCGTTAAATAGGTGAACTCGCCGGTTTCGACTGGAATATTTAGAATAGTATTATGGATTGCCTCCTGATTAGACGTTGAACGAGAATTCTGGATAGTTCTTTTTTCTAGAAGCACTGTGAATTTTTTGTTGTCCCCACGGGGACTGGGCCGAGCCCGGCAGCAGTGCAACGCCGGGACGACCCTTGGAAAGTCGGAGCAAGCCCCGAGTCTTTCCTAGGTTCCAAAAATCATATAACCTTTATTACACTCATTCGAGTGTATACCGTAGGTTAATACGATAAGAACAGATACTACACTTTGATCTTAGCTAATAAGCCGAAGAAGCGATGAAGAGACGGCGAGGCGACGGGTGTAGGGGAAACGCGTGTACCGACAAAAACCGGGCTCGCGCCGGCCACTATACCCGTGTGGTTAAGGATATGAGAGGTGGTGGGGCGCGTTAAAAGAGAGAATGTGAATGTTTTGTGATGTGAAGGAAAAAAGACATAAAGGAATTCAATGAAATTTCCAGAATTTAAGAAATTTACACTTTCAAAATTTCAGCATTTCAGGTTCTCAGAATTTCATAATCTAATCTCACACTTTCAAAATTTCGAAGCTTTAGAATTTCAGAATTTCAGAGTTTCAGAATCTCAGAATTTTGAAATTTCTGAAATTCTTGAAATTCAAAACTTTTCAAATTGAACAAAGAAAGTCATTTTTGCAACTCCCGTACCAGTTGAAGTTCTAAAAAGTAACGAATTTTAAAAATAGAAACTTTGAGATGTTTGAAACTCTAGAATTTAAAACAATCGGAAATTCAAAATTTTCAACAAAAAAATCAACTATTCAAGCATTTTCAGAATTTCAGAACTTCAAATTTTCCTATTTTCTAATTTTCGAATTTCAAACTTCAGAATTTAGGACTTTAGAATTCAAGAAATTGACATTTTAAAAATTTCAGATTTTCATAATTTCAGAATTTCAAAATTCTAGATTTTCTAAATTTCGGAACTTCAGAATTTCAAAATTTCAAAATCTCTGTACCTCAGAATTTTGAAATTAAAAAATAGTGAACTCACATTCGATAAGTTCATTCTGGAATTCCCGTCTTCTTGCATGTTCCAGCGCCTTGTCTCCACCCGGCCTGACATGTGAAATCAAATGAGTTTTCCTATTCAATTTTTTCTCTTTTTTCGGTTTTTTCGCAATTCCAACGGCCGTTTTTGTTTCAACACTGGTATCCATCACTCCCATTATTTTACTTTTCTTATCAGGTGGAACATCTGGATTTGGTGTTAATGCTGGTCCCTTTCCATCCTCATTCGACCCTTTCGAACTCTGTGCTGTACTTGAAACCAACGGAGTCATTGACGGTGTTTGGCTGGTTTTCGGGGGTGCCATTGCCTTCGCTTTCTTCTTTTGGAGCGCCGGAGATTTCGCAGAATTTGCAGTCGGCGGCATTTCTTCAATTTCCTTTGATCTCTCTTTTCCCAATTTCTCTTTCGTTCCTTTTCCATCTACTTTCAGAGATTTCGACTTTTTGAAGTTCTTTTCGTCGACATTTCTTCTTGAAGATGGAATCTTTTCAGCTGTTTTTATTTTTGATTTATTCTTTTTTCGAGAGTCTTTTGAGCTTGTTTCACTTTTTGTAACTTGTTGTGTTGGTTGTTCTTTTTCATCTGATTTTTTGATTTTCTGGAAATTATATTAGAATCCTTCACATTTTCCAGTGTTTTCCTCTACAGTAATCCTTTACTTTTTCAAATGTTTTCCCTACAGTAATCTTTCACTTCTTCGAATATTTTTCTTCTACAGTAATCCTACAAAATTTTAAATTATTTTCTCCTACAGTAATCCTTTTCATTTTCAAATTTATTTCTACAGTAATTATTTTCTTTTTATATCGTTTCCCCTTACAGTAATCCCTCATTTCAATAATCCTTTTTAAATGTGACCTATCACTCACAGGTTCTTTTCCAGATTCATCCTCGACTCTCATTTTTGTAGAAACTGGCGGCTTGTCGTGGACAATGACACTATCTGATTATTGACGCGTGTTTAAAGTTCTGTAGTTTTTAGGTCACAATTACTAATTACAATATTGATTGATCTAAATTTCCATGAATTTCAGGTGTTTTGGCTGAAAATATTGCTATTTTCCCGATTTTTATGCGTTAACTGTCAACTTTTTCATTATTATTCTTGTCCGGCGGCGAACCTTGTGGCCGAAAATTTACTTGCAGGCGCATCGTTGGTACAGTAGCGAAAACAGCTACGGTATTTCAAATTAATGCATGCGCCTTAATACCGTACCTAGAAATTGAATTAACTTTTGCTCTTTCCTCTTAAATTTTCGTTCTTTTTTTGTCAAATTCTTATTGATCTTCAATTTATTTCCATTATAAAATAGACAGACAGCCAAATATGGGCCCTAAATTAATTGCGAGGTACGGTATTAAAGGCGCATTTATTCATGTAGCTGTTCCCACTACCGGACCTAAGCTCCGCCCACCGTAGAATTTTTTTAACCAGAAAAAGTTACAATTTTTAAAGTTTTGATAAAGATGGGATTTCATTTTTCCTCAGCTTCCTTTTGGGTGAAATATTATTCTTTGTTCATTTTCCATGTTTTGTAATTCACCAAACAGATTTAAGGGTTTCAAATTTTTATTAAACCGTTGAAAAGGTAGAAAAAAATAAGTCAAAATATTATGTTCAAAGGGGATGGGGTGGGGGTGGTTTTGGCGAAACTAACCCTCAAAGCTAATTTTGAAATCAGGACAAATGTTCTGGCAATCACACATCTCCATTGCGCTTTTAAAGCTAATCAAATGATGATCACCAGAGCATTTGAACATTCATGGAAAAGCGGCGCACGATAGTGATTACTGTATCCTACAGTAACCCGAGACTTCATTGAAAAATGAAAGAGAAGAGTGTTTTTATAGTGAGCATTTTGTTGTTTTGGGTAAGAAGAAAACAATCGAGGAAAAGTTTTGTGAAAATTGAAAGAACTCGGTAGTATTGGCACTTTTAGGTCTTCTCGAATTGACCTTCAAGAATATATATATATATAGATAAAAATATTTTCAGAGAGAAACAAGCACAATGTTTTGAAATGAAAGACACTTTTTGGGCATTCGGAGGGGGAGGTTCAAAATGGAACATGAAAAAAATACAGCTTAAAGAGAGTAAAGGGATGTTGATTGAGTTAGTTTAGGAGAGAGATAAATTATATATAAAAATCTGTTTTGTTCACCGCGATGTGTACGACCAAAAAAGGGGAAAGTTTTGAAAGAACTCTGGCATTTTGAATCAATCAATGAAAGATGAAAATGAGTGGAGAAGAAAAGTTAGTAGAGCACTTTTGATGCAAAAGCGACCAGCGACAATCACAAAAAACTCGAGAAACTAAATAAGGAGTAGAGAAAGAGACATACAAGAAAATCACATAGAAAGCTCATAGGGTGGCGAGGGTGATGGAGAGAGCGACAATTCTTACATACATACACCAAAAACGTAAATGGTTAAGAAAAAGAAAAAGGCGACTGAAAATGGTTATAGGTGAGTAGAAAAGGCGAGAAAAAACAACGATCAGTTGTGTCACCACGCCTGTGGTGAGGGGGGTAATTCGGACGCCTGCGCTACTGATGAGCTTGCGAAATTCTTGTAGGCCGCTGACTGCGGATTTATGCATAATGCAACACCGTAGAGGGCTGGTCGATCCATCACGAATTGGTACATTTTCTCGCGAAGTTCGAACATTGACAGCCGTGACATGTCTTTCTCCCATTTTGGATCGAATGGACTCTCGTGCTGAAAATAAAGATGGATTAGGAATGACTGTATTCGGAAAAATTGCTTACCTTAGGGTCTAATTCTTGCGAAAATATCCTTGATGGCACGTTTGCTTTCGTATAACAGCACGAGCACATACACGAGTGGAAACGGAGTCGTCCTTCTTCGAGATATGGATGTGAAAGTGCTTCTTCTACGCTGATTCTCTCATCTGGATTGAATTTAAGAAGTTTCACTAACAGATCCACTGCATCGTCTGTTGTCTGTTGAGACAATCTGTATAGGGACTGAAGATTCGGAGCTCGTGGTCCAGCACGAAGGACGTGGTTCTTGGCTCCCTCGCAAGCATATTTCATCGCTTCTTGTGATGGTGTTCCAAGAAGATCAATGATCATCTGAAGCTGTTCAATCGGTCCAGCGGCTTGGAACAGGATCTTTCGTTGCAGAAGCTCAGCGAAGATGCATCCGACAGACCAGATGTCAACGGCTCCCGTATACCTCCTGGCGCCCATCAAAAGTTCTGGTGCTCTGTAGTATTGAGTGACAACTTCATGAGTCATGTTCAGGCGGTCTCGTGAATCCCATGTTCGCGCCAATCCAAAGTCGCAGATTTTAAGAATGCAATTGCTGTTGACCAAAAGGTTTCCTGGCTTGATATCTCTATGTAGAATGTTTGCAGTATGCAAATATTTCAATCCTATAAATATAAAAACTTATAATTTTAACTTTTTGATTAATTTTACCTCTGAGAATCTGATATACAAAAACTTTGACATGATCAATTGTCAGTGTTTGTGGGGAAACGATTATCTTGTGAAGGTCACTTTGCATTAACTCGGTGAGCACATATCTGAAAAATAATTAATTTTTTATTCCTTTTTTTCTTTTCTCCTTTTTCCGACTAAAGTATCCCTTTTTAATCTTCTCACTTTCATTCTCCCGGACCCCAAACGTTCGGCGCGCGCGCGAACATTTTTTAAAGACACACATGCCAGTCACCACAACAATAATCTAAGGTCAGCCACACGTGACAAAAACAGCTCCCGATGTGTCCCGGTGGTGGCGTCTGTTCCCGTGTCTGCCAGTGTCTCAGAGTCGTCCCCCCAAAACTGTCTGCGTCTCTCTTCCATAAGTACGCGCATTCCCGCCCCGGGCGAGGGCACGTACCATTGGGTGACTGCCACCAACACTATTCCCGGCCGGTCACCCCGCCACACGGTCCGCTCTCACCACGCCAAAAGGTCATTGGGGGAGGGGAGGAACGAGTATGATGAGTATATATCGCACGGACAGCCTGCCTGCGCGAAACGTACCAGTACCCGAGTGATTGAGAAATAAAAAAACAAGAAGGGGGAGGAGGAAGACTCCAAGGATACTGATGATGATGATGGGTGGTGGGACACACGTTATCGTCTCCTTCCGCCCTTCGAGTAAGGCAGTGCCATGCCACCACATACAAACATACATATGCGCACACAGAAGAGACACCAATGGCAACACAAAAAAAAGGCAAATAGGTTTGATGTGACTAATCAATCTTTGGTGGTGTATAGACGGGGTAAGGTGCCAGCTGGTACTAAAAGGTACAAGTGGTGCTCAGCAAAGAGCCGTACCATCCAAACCACGTGTCGAAATTGTATCAAGGTGTGATGCTTTTAACAATATAAAGTACAAAAATAGACAAGACTACAGTACTCTCCTTACAGGCGCAACCCCTCAGCATGTTTCAGAATTCCAAAAGTCAATCCTAAATTTTCCTTGAAAGATCATCCTCGTGTGAGACCTAGTTTTGACCCCCTAATCGAAAGTTTTCATTTATAATAAACCGTCGTCGTCGACTGGTCTCGCCCACTTCCTCTTCCTTTCTTTTCTAATTTCACTACTTTCACTTTCACTTTCGTGTCCGGACGTTCTCTCCCTAGCGGTCAACTACCCCCGATAGCCACCCCGTGTTGTCAGCTGTTATTACTTACAATTCTTGAAAGAAGCTCGGATTTGCTGGCTGCAAAATGTCTAGCAGTGAAAGAACATTGTCATGTCGGAACGAGGAGAGCATCTTGATTTCTCGAAATACTCGTTTACACGAAGCCAAGTTTTGGAATACATTTGGCATCTTCTTCAGTGCTACTCGCTTTCCACTTCGAGGATCTGTGACTGACCTGAAAAAAGGAAAAAATATTATTTGAAAAAATTTTAAGTTTCGAAAAAAACTTACCAAACAACTCCAAAAGCACCATAGCCAATAGGCCTGTCTGGTTGGGAATCTTGTACTGGAGGCTGGTAGAATGGTTGGGCGGCTGCCAGAATGGCATTTGAAGAGACATGTGCCACCTGAAACTGGAAAAATCAAATTAACTTGGAGTTAGGATTTCAGATAAATTTGAAATTGAAATTTTTTTAAAAATCCTACCCAAACGAATTTCCGTAGATATTCGATTAGAGATTCAATGATTGCCACCAGAATCATTGTTTTAAACACAAATGTACAATGGCTTCAGTGCCAATAGTTCTAATGTTAGCGAAAGTACACCTAGATCAAAACGAGACGCAGACCGGGGAGCACGAGGGTCTGATTCAGTCACGTGGTGTCTGAATTTGAAGACAGGAGGTGTATGTAGAAACGTGTTTGAATAGTGAAAAGAGATAGAAATATACGTAGTATTGTTCTGGGCGATAGCAGAAGGGCGAGGAAACAAAGAAGGAAGCAAAATCAGATTGGCATCAGGCGAAAGATTATTGCCACTGGAACCAGCGTATAGGAGGAAAAATAAACCCAAAATCGGATAGTCGCTCGTAGGCAAAAATGTTCCCCGTGGTTCGACAGTGGTGGCGCCACCAGCAGCAGCAGAGTTTCATTGAAAGGAAGAAGAGAGAACCAGAGAAGAAAGCAAAACACAGAGTGTAGCCGGTTAGCATGCTTGGAAGAGAGCGGGGACGGACTGATCATCTGATCTTATCATTATGATACTGAACCTGCTCTGTGTGCGCTGTCTCAAGTGCCGAAAATGATTATCGCTCCCTTTCAGCTGACCGTCTCATGAAAAAGTCAACTGATTTCTTCGTCTTTGAGGGGTCATTTGATGAGCAAAAGCTAGATAACTAGAGCTAAGAGTTCCAAGAGTTCGTAGAACGAGATTTTCAAAAACATGTTTTTTTTCTCCGGCTAGTTCAAATAATGTCCTTGGCGAGGGGGAAATGCTTTTCTTGGAGTTCAGAATCAATTGATGGTTCAAAAAAAGAAAGAAGCAACAACGTAAATACCCTCCCTCACACGACGACGTCTTCATGTGCGCGCGTACACACACGTGCGTCATTTTCTGAGAACCGAACATCATCAGCTGAGTGAGAGAGAACGTCTATGTGTCATGGATTTTCAGAGAACTTCCGTTTTCCATTCGCGGGGAGAGCGTTACTCATAGCCGTTCCTGGTAAACAGTAGGGGGCGTTAAAAGCAAGAATTTCGAACTTTTCGATTTTTGTTATTTTCAGATTGGGTTTTTAGTTCGGAACCAACTTTTTGAATCCTATTTAAATGTCATAAACTTTAAGAGCCTCCTCATTACATTAATAGGACTGTGCAAACGAGAGAGGGGATAATAGAAAGTGCAACACGCGCATAAAAAAAGGACATCAAGACTTTGGAGTGCTGCCTGGTGCGTCCGGACACAGAGGGGGCAAAGTACGTGTCATCAACTAGAGATACCAGTAGGATCAGAACAGAAATTCGTTTTTGATTAATTTCTTTACCAATTATCAGTAATTTTTTTGAAAATATCAAATTTTGTAATGGAAAATGAACAAACCTGTGGTTGGGTGGGAATTTGCGGAACTTGCTGCTGTTTTTGAGGATTTTTCTCATAGCACGTCGTCGAGCCGACGGCTGCCGGGTGTGTATGTGATACCAAAGCCATGTCACCTGCAAAATGCATAAAAATGAATAAAAAGTATAAATAATGTATAATTAATTCATTAATTTTGACCTGTTTTCTAAAATTAATTACCATATGATAAATCCCTCATTTTTTGAAAGATGTGTTCGTCTTGAAAGTTTTGAATCTTGTCAGAAGGAGCTTCAAATAAATTAAAAATGATTTAGAAGGTCAACGAAGCGATTTAAAGAAGATGTTGAAGATTTCAAAATATAAATTAGTTTGGGTTTAAACACACACACACACAGGGCGTCGTTACTCAGTCTGTGTGACAAAATGTGGGTGTGATGGTGGTGGGGGCCAGAGAAGGGGAAAGGCGGGCCCGTTGTGTGTGTGGGGCTAACCTTGAATGCCAGGCAGTTCCTCTTCTCACTCACACCACTACCCAACACCGAGAGAATCAGACACAATGAGGACGAGGCGGGATAAAGAGAGCCAACGGGACCAAGAGACGCAGCGAGAGATACTGACTACTACTGGTCTTCTTTTGCCCCCTGTGGGAGAAGACGATGAACCTTTTGGAGGAGGAAGATGAGACCGAGAAAAATAAGGAGGAAAAATGGAAGAAGTCTAGGAGGAGGAGGACCACGCCCTATATATTCAAATGTCTTTGCACTTTTTGTATATCTGCTCTCTACGACTTCCGAGAAGCTTGAACCACATAGTACAAGTTCAGAGCAGCTCTTCTGAATCACCCACAAGGCTATTCAATTCAAGGGCGATTGTCCTGAAAGTAGATATTCGGGGCAACACCTGCAAGCTAAGCCACCAGAAAAAAGGCATTAGAGAAGATCAAAATTCAGCTAGCTCTTTTTTTTCTCAAAAGTCTGAATGGGTGGGTTTCTGTGAATTCATTGACGTCTAATGCTGCTTCTTCATGACGTTTACGCCTTCTTTCCGGTAAGCAAACATCGAATAAAAACATAAAGAAAAATTGCTCCGCACAAATTAACATATGACGAACTAACCTAGAAATAAGAAATACATAGTTGGAGTAACATATGCTATATGACGCAATTTGATTTAGTCGGCGGGGCAAACATATTAATCGAATAAAATATGAATATGTATGAAAAAGATTCTAGTCCTAGAAGAATTGCTCATCTTAGAATTTGAATGATGTTGTCAAGACGACGTTACAAACAATATAGAATTTCGCAATAGAAAAGATTTCTTAGAATCCGAAATCAGAATTGCTGGAACTTGAGCTACTCATATTCCACGAACGAGCACTTATTCAGAAAATGATTCCGAGTATTCTAGAAGATGTCCTCGGCTTCACGAGGGTCGAAAAAAAAACAATGACAACAACAAAAACAGGCGACGAACGTTGAAAACAATTTTAGTTCTAATAGAGATAGAGAGATATATAGGGAGAGCTAGAGAAACACAAACTCAAATAGTTACTTTTTTGAAGAAAAAAAAGAACGCGATAGTGCAAAGAAGGAAAAAAGAGAGAAGAGAGTTCTAACGCACTTTTGAAGGTCGCACTGATCAAATTTGCGAGCGACAGAGAAAAGGACAGAATTAATCTTTTTTTTGGTTTCTAGTATGTTCACAAGTTCAAAACCTTACCAACTAGCTGTTGATGATGATGGAGCGCTTGTTGCTGCTGCTGTTGTTGCACCAAGTTCTGTAGGTGTTGGTGTAGTGCGAAATGGGACGGTTGTTGGATCACTGAAACATTTTCTTTGTGAGTATGGATTTTAGAAGATCTGAGTTACCGTCGGATCTTGGTAATATTGCCGGATGATGTGCCACTTGTGGCAAATGATGATGATGATGACCTGCGACTAGCTGGTGCTGGACCGATGGATGTAGTTGGTGATGGTGATGAGCTACGGCGGCAGCTGCTAATTGGTGCTCCGGAATTATAGGGATACCTGAAGAATTGAATTTTTTTAATTTTCAGCAATACCGTAAACCCTGCAATAGAAGGGCCTGTGTCAAGTTTCAGCTCAATTATCTCGATTTCAGTGGAAGATATAAAAAATCTGCCAACTGATAAAATACTTGTGATAATATGATAAACAGTTTATCAGTTGACAACATTTCGATATCTTTGACAGGAACCGAGATAAAATGGCTCTTCTATTACAGGTTATCCGGTATTTGAAATGATTTGATAAGCTTGATTTCTGACATGTTTTTCTGGGCATAAATGAGGATGAGCAATGATTTCTGAACACTTTTGATCAGTTAAAAATTTTTCAAAATGCAAATTGATCTACGAACAAGAGCGATCTCCAAAGTTTTAAGAAGCCTTTTTTCTTGAAGATTAATTTTTTTATTATGATAAATAGCCTTTAAATCTCTTTTGGTTCATTTTTATAATTGATTTCAAAGCAATACTCACCTTGATTCAAAATCTGCTGTTGTCTGGAAATGAGGGCTGCGTGCGCTGCGGCAAGATCGTAGAGCTCAGTCGACGATGAGCTACAGCCGGATGAACTGCTTGAGCCTGGAAATCAGGAAGACATTATTACAAGGAAGAGTTTGGAACACACACAAAAAAAAGAAAAGAAGAACATAAAAAAGAAACTAGAGAGTTATTTATTCATGACGACGACTTCTTCTTTCTTCTTCCTCTATAAATCAGAAAAAGGAAGAAGAAGGAAAAAAAAAGAAAAAAAAAAGAAGAAGGAAGAGGAAGCTAAAAACTACCACCCTCGTACAAAATGACTCATCCGATTTTTCAGGTAGTAGTTCATTTTGGAGTTCTGAGGAAAAGAGAAAATATGAGAAAATGAGGAATAAAAGGAACAAACATGGAGGAGGAGGAGAATCATGGAATGTGTCCTCCGTGTCTTTCTGCGAGACGAGAACGATGAAGAAGAAGAAGAAAGTGAATCCGAAGATAGTACGCATCCTCCTCTCTTCTTATTCCAACTATCCATCCTCGCGCACCACCAGCCAACACCGTTTTCGTCGCGATGGTCTTCGTTTACCAGTCTGCGTCTGCGGTACCATCTCGGATCCTGTGCGCGCACGCACCGCCTGGGAGACCGACTGACTGTGTGCTAACAGAGAGAGAGAGAGAGAGAGAGAGAGACCTCCTTGTCCCTCACTACCTGCCTCCGTACCACGTACATTGGGTAACTCCCGCAACGGCTGTATCCCTCTGTGAGAAACCGATGGTTTCGAAATATTTCAAGGATAATGGTACGAGGTCGGCTGACACCAATGTGAGAAGTACATAGTAAAGTTTTATTATGGGATAGAACCGGAAGGCCCGCAAGGATAGAACCGGAAGGAGTACAAGGCAGAAAAACTAAAATATCAAGAATCTTTGTAAATTTAAAATAAAGAAACATAAATAAATATCGGTAATCTACAGTTTTATCACTGATTAATGAGGCAAAAAATTCGGAGGGTGCAAGAATTTAAGGTTCGGAGTACAAAGCAATTCAGGGGTACAAAATCCTCAATTCGTGTGTTCAAATGAAAAAAATTTGTATTTTTTACCCAAAAATCACTATGTACCTGCCGAATTATGTGCTGTTAAATGATACGGTAGACAAAATTATCAGAAAGATGAGAAATGCGAATCTAGAAATTGAGAAAAAAAGAACTTTCATCACCCACGTGGCACAAGAAGTTGTTCCAACGAACGAACAAATCAAATTAACGAAAAATGACTTTAACAAAAACCGGATCTAGATGTAGCCTTTTACTTCTGATTCTACTTGCCGCACCCCAATGAGATGCCAAATTGAATGGAATTCTACGGAAAAGCAGCTGATCGAAAAACAAATCGGATCAAGGCATACGGTACTCTCGTAGACTTTTTGAAAACGAGCGACGCTACAGCTGATCGGAAGCTAACAATAGGGGAGAGCCGGAGACGAGTAAAGCAGAAGAGAGCGTGTGAACTTGAGAGAGTGCAGAGAAACAAATGAACGACCACCCAGCAGCCAGCAGACAGACGAACCACGAATTCGAATAGTATGCAGGGCAGCCAGTGGCCACTCTTCTTGAAGAAACATTAACTAGACATGAGACGCAGAGAACACGACGGGCGAGAGAATGGTCAAGCCTGAAGAGACGGCAGAGACAAGTACTCACACATCTGACTGACCACTCAAATGGCGAGGAAAACGGCCGGGAATCGAGGAGAAGACAGTTGGGAAGAAGCAGAAAAGATGAACTAGGGTCTCCCGAATTGCCTGACTGCCTACTACTGGAGATGCCCAGCTTCAACACATAAACTACTACTATTACTACGATTTCGCGTTTCAAATTTGCATTTCGAATGAGTGTTCGGGGCTAATTCCAATAGAGTGCTCGATGGCATTGTTGGGAAGAAATATCTGAGTTTTTCTTGGTTAAAGAAATGTAGAAGCTGAGGACTTCAGAAAACGAAAAAAAGAAAGTTGCAGATAAATTCGTTCAGATTCGCCCGCAGATTGCAGACGAATCTAAAGTAATATCAGAGACGAGGAAGAGGACTGCTATATGTGGTGTATTTTTGTTGTTGTTATTGTGGCACACACGGGGCAAGAAAAAAAAACGAAAGCTAGCAAAAAAGAACGCCGACTGCTGCTTTTTTGGGTCGACGACTACTATACAAGAAGAGGAAAAGACGAAGAAACAAACAAAAACCGGCTGGATATTTAGTTCAACAGATTGAGCAAAAAAATTTGTTATTTTCATTATTCAGAGGCCGTATGCAAGAAAGTGGAAAACCATTTTCCGGTGTTTGGAAAACGATTTTTTGATAGTTTGGAGAGAATTTTCACAGTGGTTATATTCACTTTTAGTCATTTTTCAGCCCAGAATCCATTTTAAAATGGGAAAAATCTGTTAAAGCTCTCAGAAAACCATTTTCCAAACACCGGAAAATGGTTTTCCACTTTCTTGCATACGGCCTCAGGGGTCGGAAGAATATGGTTTTGCAGCCAAATCACAAGAATTAAAAAATGGAGAAAAACAATTTATGGCGAGTAATACTGTAGTCAAAAGTACGCAATATCGCGTGAGGTGTGTTGCACGAAAAATTAAAGATCGCCGAAATTGACTAGAATTATCGGAATATTGGCAATTTTTACCGATTTCGGCCGAAGTATTCTAAAAATACTTCGAAATTTTGAAAATTGGAATCTTTTCCGGTGTCGGAATAGAAAAAAAGTAGCAGGAAAAGTCGACATGAATTGATATTTAGAATTAATTTCGTAATTCTGACCGAGTAATTTTTTAAACCTTATAAACTTCGAAAATTGAAATCCGTTTTGGTTTCAGGAAGAAAAATGCCTACAATATTTTTGAAAAAAAAGAGAAAAAGTAACAGGAAAATATGCATCGTATAGGTAAAACAATAAAACCAATGTCAAGCAATCTCAAAAAGTGACACCTCGAATTAGATTCAAAAACAAATGACAACCTCCACTGTCACTAACCATCATTTCTCTTCTCAACACCAAAAATGTTGCGACAAACAAGGAGACTGATAAACTACTGATAAGTCGGTGAATAGAAAAGAGGCCCTGAGAGCGCACCGCGCAAGTCTTCAAGACCCCAGAAAAAAAATCGTAGTTGGACAACAAAAGCCAGGCCGCAGGATGATGGGAGAGCTCTAAAAATAGCCCGGATCATTTCTAAACATAGAAACGAAACGCAACGAATCGAGCGGTCTTTCCGGTACAGAGCACGGTCCAGGGGCGCATGCACACGGAAACCAAGCGTCCTGGGGCGGAATGTTTGTTGTTTCTATCATTTCTCCGTTCACACTCTCTCTCTCCCACTCGGTTTTCTCTTTTCGTCAGTTCAGATTCTATTTTTATCCGCGCAGGGGGTCGCTCCGTGACTCGACCGTTTCTATTCGTGTCCTGCCCCCCTTCGGAAAATAGAAATTAGAAAATAGAACGATGCGGAGAGCGAAAAGAATCTTCTCTTTGAACACTGAGAAAGGGAGCAAACTTTCAAACATGCAGATGCATGAGTTCATTGTTTGTGCAATATATGTCTACTACATTCCATTCAAAAAAGAAAAGGGATTCGAAAAGGTTTTCGTAGGGATTGTCGCATTCCGAACTACTGATGAGAATGGTCTAAAAAGTTGGTATCCAGGGAAGAAACACGAAATTTCGGAAGTGAAAAGAAAGGAAGTGAATATGAGATGAGATACTTTCGCAAAATTGAAAGCCGAACGAACTTTCTCTTTTTTTTGTCATCTCATCATTTTAGCTTTCACCTCGCCGCTTTTCCAGAAGTACGCCTTCTTTAGCAAATTGTCTATATTCGATTATTACGTTGGGAAGAAAGCGGCAGATAGAAACCAAAAAGAAGCTTCTGCTAAGCAAACGAGGAATGGAATGTAGTCGTCAAATAGGTTGCGCGATCAACGTCGTCAGCTGACTAACAGATGAGAAGGCAGGGCATACTGTATTGAAGAGAGACGAGAAAAACAAGGAAGAAAACGAATAGAAGACGTGGAAATGCGACGACGGCAGAAGAGGGAGAAAGGCTTATCGAACAGGTCTCCTTGCGATTCAACGACGACGGTGAATTGCTTATTCTTCTCATCGATTCGGCTTCACATAGCGAATGAATTGAAAACGAGGGCAAGAAGTACTTATGAAGCTTATACAGTACTATTCCTCCGTAAAAGTGTGGAATTCGTGGGGGGAAGAAACTGGGAAGAGAGAAATTCAGGGAAAAGACAGAAAATGAATAATTATTTCAAGAGAAAGATTAGAAAAATCACTTGGCACTGCGCCAAGAAACTGATTTCTATTGAGTCTGCAGACACTAATGCGTACAATGCATTTTACTATACGACAAAACCGTATGACTGGTAAAATTCAGAATTCAGAAAATTTTTCGATAGATTTAAAAAAAAGAATGAATACAATATGTTACATTTTCAAAAGAAGAGTCACTGTTTTTATACGATGTTAACCCGAAAAACATTTTAATCATATTTTCAGAACTTTAACCCTATTCAGATGGTCAATATATTCCGAAAACCAGAGATCTAAAATTCGAGATTCAAAAAAAATAGTACAGCTTCTAGGTGCCATAATCAACAGCGACTGAGTAGTATTTAGAACAATGACAATAATCAACTATTCGACCCTCGACGAGGCTCTTCCCATTTTTGGCTCACACAGACGGCAGATGATAAGCAAATAAGCGACAACAACAACAACAACAAGTGAACTGAAAACAAGTCTGGGGAGAGAATTCGCTTCTAGAGAAGAGATGGGAGATATTCGAGGGGTTGAAAGGATGTGAGGATACATTATCACACTGTGTTCGTCTCCGCGAATTCCGAAATTTCCCCCTCCAGACAACAACTCAAATCCATTGTGAAATTTGTGAAATTGCCACCGATTGACTCTCATTTATATTCAGAAAAGAGAAAGGGGACAGATGGCATAACAGATGACCGAAAAGTCACAGAAATGTGACAAATTTCATGTAAACTTTGAATTTGAAACTAAAGTACGAACTTTTTGGGTGAAATGTGGCATTTTTAGGACAAAAGTGTCATCAAAAGAACTATTAAACTTCGTTCACATGTCAATAAAAAAGGTTCAAAGTGTCACCATCAAGACTATTTTTGTGAAAAAGTACATTCTAATCAAACCACAGGTGTACCAATTGCACTATCTGCTGTTCTTTGAAAATTAAAGACTATGAGGAGCAAGAGAGGCGCAGAGAAAACACGAGTAAAATGACAATAAATGTTACGCTCTCTCTTATGGTACGGGTACCAACCGGCACTCAAACCCGAAAACCACCCCAATTGAGTCAATAGATAGACACCATCCTGGGGGTAACGGTCGGCGCCGAGCCAGAGAAAACAGGGAGAGATAGAGAGCAGGGAAAAAATTAGTTGCTTTTTTTTTGTTAGATCAGAGCAAAAAAAATGATGACGGTAGGCGGAGATGGACTAGAGTGGTGTGGTGAAAACGGACGGAAAAGTGTGAACAAAGAGCAAATCGAAAGAAAAAAACGGTGTGGGGAAGGAGGGATGGGGGGAGAGAAATTGTAAATTGAGCAAGAAAGGGAGATAATGATATCGGGAGGATCAAATTTGATCCTGGTTGGAGAGGGTTCAAGTACTATAGGAGTTGATCGGATCTGTAGGAATCTTGCAATCAAAAAATATTTGGAAAATGGAATTTTGATATGAATTTCTGTTGAATGTAAGTTTTACTTAATTATTGTTGCATGTATTTTAGCAATTTCGGTATAAAAGTTATGATCCAACTGTCAGGATACCTCTAATAGAACGGCATTATTAATTTTTAACTTTGAGCTAAATTATCTCGGTTTCTGTGAAAGATACCAAAAAGCAATCAACTGATAAAATATTTCTGATTTTATGCTAAACAATTTATCAGTTGACAACTTTCTTGTATCTTTCACAAAAACCGAGATAATTGAGCTTAAAGTTGAGGGTTTGGAGGACAATAGAGTTTTTACGGTAATCTCTCTTGAAGTGGGAGATTTTTTTTACACTTTATTTTCAGAACGCAATTCGAAAAATGACTATAGAGATGTTAAAGTTTTGAATTTGTATTTGATCTATTTCAAAATTTTGGAATTCGTTTAAAACAAAATATAAGTTTATTAGAGCTCCAGATTATTGAGCATGAAACTTCAAACAATGAAATTCGAGTTCTGAAGGTTTAAAAATCAAAACAAACATACGAAACAAGATTTACAGAAAAGAACAAAAAATTAATGAGAAACTGGTCAATTTGCAGAGTACCGTACTTCTTCTAATAAAATCCCACTTAACCCATCAACTTTGAGCACTATTATCTCGGTTCCTGTGGAAGATATCAAAAAGTGGTCAATTGGTAAAATGTTTTTCAAAATAAAAAAAATTTTATTAGTTGACACGATTTTTCTACCTGTTACAGGAAATAAGATATATGGGCTCAAAGATGACGGTTTTTCAAGTCTAATTTAGAATGGTTCTAGAAAGTTCTGAAACTACCATCAATCAACGAAAAAAAAAATCTAGAATAATACCGGAAGTGAAACTGGACACTATATAGCAATCTATGGTTTACGTCATATAGCCTGTATAGGTCATCTTTCATGAGAACCCAAAGTCATAAATAACTGAAACTATTCAGATCTTCCTTCTAGATTCAATCAAAAACCCATCGATGGAAAGTGAGATCTCTCTCCACTTGAAAAGTTGCCCCAAAAAGAACGTAAAAGTGCATTGGGCCGTTCACTAATGATGTCGACTAAAGTGGGCGGAGCCTGCACTCCTGACGTGCTTTTCAAACGTTCCAGAAAGAAAGTGTTGGGAGAAAGAGGACTTTTTGCCTT